CCCCCCCCCCCTAAAATTTTGACTGGATCCGCCCTTGACTTACCTGGTGTTACCAATTCATCAAGCATTGACTGTTGCGCCGACGATACCAAAATATACAAGAGGATCGACTGCATGACAGACAGCGCTGCACGGCAGACAGACCTCACAAACCTTGCTCAGTGGTCAGAATCATCTGGCCTCTTGTTCAGTCTTTCAAAGTGCAAGTATATGCGCATCACACGCAAAACAAAACCCTGTACACGTACAGTCCACGTATTCCATCGAAAGGTTGAACTTGCAGAGTTGTGAATTAGAAAGAGACCTCGGCATCAGTACTATCTCAAGGATCTCACGTGGTCTAAACATGTCACTGAGTAATGCGCCAAATCCAACAAACTTCTAGGATTTGTCTACCGATCTTCAATGGACATAAGCGTCCAAACACGCCGCACGTTGTACTTGGTATTGTACGCCCCCATCTAGAATATGCTACTCAGGTTTGGTCGCCACACTCTGCTGGGCTCATTAAACAAGTTGAACGTGTACAGCGGTGCACAACCAAGTACATACTCAAACTCCCATTCGGCTGTGACATGCAATACAAGGATATACTACAACTAACCAATCTGTTGCCCATCTCTTATTGGCATGAAATGCTAGACATCATCTTATTCTTCAAAGCAATTAATGTCTGGTGTACATAGAAAGTGAGGTGTTACCAGTCTTGAGGGATACGGGCAGAACCACGAGAGCATCGAGTAATAGCAGGGCAGTAACTTTTATTCAGAGAAGATGCAGAACAGTCACCTACCAGTGCTCCTTCTTTATTAGAGCATGCAACGTGGAATGCTCTACCAGAACACCTACCAGTTAGAGACGCATCACTCATTTTCTTTAAATGCAAATATATATGTGAGGGACCACGGTAATTGGCACATGCTGTAGTAAATTCCCAGCCATTACATATATATATTACATATAACGTTTTTGTGTGTGTTTGTGTGTGCGTGGGTGTTTAAATGGGAAAGCTAAATAAATAAATAAACAGACAAACAAACAAACAAACAAAATAAATAAATAAATAAATATGTGAACGATTCCTCAAAACCCCAATAGCTAGAGAAGGATGGGATGGGATGGGATGGGATGACGTCATCTATGCAACAGTTTACTCCAAAATGTTTCAATGCTTGTCAACTTAAATGGTCTGAAAATAGCTGATACACATTGTGGAATGATTTTCCTCAAGTTCCGCTTTCCCTTTCCCTTGGCGAATTAAACTCTGGAATAATAACTAGCTACTTAATTTATTTTCAATGGGATATTTACCGGAAGCCATTTTTACCATAATGACTTCAATGCTGGAACCAAAGTACTTACTTACAAACACTTTGGCAATATTAATTGACAAGGATTTTGAATTGAAATTTTTCGAAATTCAGTTCAGAAGATCGAGGTGGCCGGCACGTTATTCGTGGCATTCGATTCCCAGTTTCGGCAATCCTATTTCTAGCTGAGACAGTCCTCTTTATAATTTTCACGATACCACTCCGGCTCTTGCGCCTGTAAATTTACGGCGAAAAAAGAAACATCCGTGCCAAGCTTGTTAACGTTTATGCTCCTATTGATGCATGCTTAAAAACACCTGCAGAATAACAACAGGAACTACCTTTGTTCATCGGGTATAAAAGATTTGAACTGTCAATCTAAATCGCTTAGTTCAAGCAACGATCAATTTGCAAGTTGTTTTGAATGTGATAAAATGACGAATCTCTTCTGAAGTAAGGCTAGCACGGCAACCAATCTAATGGCCCGCATCTGTGGTGGCCTCACACACACATTGATTGCAAGTGCTAACCCCTTCTCGATCTCTTGAAATGATGAGTCAAGAAATTGGAATAAACTGTCAGTGGTATATCGAACGATATTGTGTGATGGGCATGCATGCGTGGGCTGACCTGGAATCATGCGGTAAGTAACCATGGTGACATGAATGAGCTGGCGCGGAAGGAAAGACAGATCACCAAGTAGTTAACTAAATATAGCAACTGATATAATCGTCAGTTATTTATTTATTTATTCATTCGGTTCTCAATCAACACATAAGTTAAAATGGAACGTACGTACTGCCGAAACCTGTCAGTCTTGTTTTAAAATAGTACTAGTCGTGTTTCTTAAAATATTTTCAAGACTGCTGGCCTGGTGTCGAGACCTAGCTGCTACTAGCTATACAACAGCCTTCCACTGCTGTTGTCTTTGGTTCCATTGTTATGTATTTAGACGTGGTTTAATGGTTCTGTCCTGTGTTTTCAGGGATTTTCTAAATGACAACTAAACCGCCTAATTATAGATCATCTTGATCCTTGATCAAAGCAAGAGAATATTAAGTACTTCATATTTTCTTGTTAAAAGCCAAGACCAAAAGCTAGATATAACTTGTAGCTCTAGGCGCGGTAAAATCAACTCTTTTTGGGAATTCGAACTACCCGATTCTTTGCTACTATAACGAACGCAAAGTGTCCTTGTCCATGAAGTTGCGCTTGTCGATCAATTGTTCTTTGTTGGACCATTTCTCACCATTTCTCGGACATTATCAGCCGATATACTATATTTTCTAATTAGACTTCCATCGGCGAATAATTGTTAAACATACAGTTATACGTACTAAATCAATCCCATATGTTGCCTCTTTGAGCTATAATACACTTTATTCCTCCTTATGTAATCATGGTCGTTGGTGACCGGAATTCAAAAACTGATATTCGTCGATTATCACATGACTAATTTATGTCTGTATATTTCGTGTCGGTCAACCTTCTTGGGTTTGTTGGTTGGTATGGACATTTTAAAATATACGTTAATTTACACTATTTATTATATGACCGTGAATCTTAGAGCCTGGACACTACCAAATCGAACAATCTGATTGGATAGATCGCATCGCGGACTGGTCTAGATTCTCCGGTATTAACCGGTCCGATCGCATATTAATCTTACGGCGAAAACATTTTGTCCTTTTCAATGAAAAGTGGTCATATAATAAAACTCTAATCAACCGAGCTTGGTCGGTCTGTACATTCCGACCTTGGTCAAGATTATCCCGTACAGACCTCCCGCTCGGTTAATAAGATCTAAATATACACTCAGTATATCAAAAGTATATCAGAAAATATGAGATACCACCAATAAGTGCTACCCCTGGCCAAGTATGAGTTTTGCTTTTAATGTTCTCTAGCATTGTTCGTCAGTTGCTTTTTCTTTGCTTCTACTTTTCAAAATTTTTATTTTTCGAATAGCGTATCTGTATTCGGAAATTATTTTTCTCGATTTTGCGTAGACTTCGCGTAGACTAACCTCATTGACGATTTCCAATGGACTTTGATTTTTAGGTCATGTGAGACTGATTTAAGAAGTGTTTCCTTGAAAACTTTGACTTTGACCCAAACATTCGTAATTATATAATAGATAGCTAGCTAACTAGCTTGGTGTAGCCCGTACAGGTCATAATTCCAGTCAACTTACACCTTAATATACTAAACTATATATTATCGTATATTTTAACGTTTTCCGTCGTAAAGGCACCAAATAAAAAAGTGTCTATTTAGATTTCGAAAAAATAATTTCCAACTTCAATATTAGATAATTACCGAATTCATAAATTTTTATCCCAACTCGGAAAATAATTCTTAAATCCAGAAAATAGATTGATATCTAGAAAATAAATTCCAAATTCAGAAATCCTGAAAYGTAATTTCAGTTTGGCCAGGTGGTACACTGATCACCATCCCTGATACTTTTTTCAAAAAGCTCTAGTGATAGGCAACTGAAAAAATATCATAGAAAAAATCCAAAATTTTTTATATAACTTTTGATTTTTGCTTTCTGTTTTTCTGTGTAATTTTTGTCTCTGCTTTTTAATTCTTTTTTTTTTTTTTTGTTTTTTTTGCTTCCTTTTTTTTTTTTTTATCTTTCACTAGCTTCCTTTGCCCGAAAAACGTAACACTTGATTTGCTCGTTTACAAAACTTTTTTGTTGCTTCTTCATTAAATATTGTTTTATTTTTTTACCATTTCCTGCTACTTAATTTCTCTCTTTTGCTTCGCGTTGCGTTCCGTGCACCTCTATGCCTTCATTTCTCTCTTATAAATAAAGGTACTTCTAAAAAAAGCTCAAAAATACGTGCGCGCATATGGCAATTTCTCAGCTATGCAATTTGATAAACGGTAGTTTAAAAAAATGGAATCGATTAAGGGTTTTGTAATGATGTCTTCGATTCGCTCTCATTTTTTAAGCATTTATTGATGTTGCTGTCTTTATTGTGCCGTTGTTTCCTGCATTTCCTGTTATCCATTTTTATCAGTGGGCTTTTCTTGAATAGTTAATAGAATATAAAGAGCTTACACTGAAGTTGGGGCCATTCTCAACAAGCATCTGTTAACCTGTAAATGATTTTAAATAGTTTGTTGTACACTTAGTTCGCTCGTCTTAAATTTACCTCTTTATTAACACTTTTTTGTCGTAGTGTTTTCGTTCCTGGAAGAATTTTACTTGCAGACATATTTTCCACAAATTATCCATTCTTTTAGCAAAGATGACTAGGAATTTTAGTCAGTTATCTGTTGACTACGAAAACCTCACCAACCTAACATCAAGATCCAGCACCAGAACCTACGTGAACAGCCCAACCTCCGACCAGAATCTTGTGATTCTTAGTGTGACGTTGAGTTTGATTGCCCTACTTGGTACTCTTAGCAACTCCGTCGTTGTCATCATGACCAAGAGAGAATCGAGATACGAAGGACCCATCGAAGAAATGAGACGACGATCACTTGTGTCTTACTTCATTTACAACCTGTCGCTGTCAGATCTACTGGGGTCTCTCTTTTCATGTCCCAGTCTTATCATCCAACAATACGTTGCTAGTCTTCAAACCAAGATAGGATGCTCTATCGTGCGACTTGTCAGCTATGCGTTTCCAACATTATCGACACAAATTTTGGCTGTCATTTGTCTTGAGAGGTACATGAACTTGGTCTTTCCTTTTCGTAGCTTTCCAATGGTACTAACAAGAAGAATGGTTAAATGTGCTTGGGGGTTCACCGCCTTCTGGAGCTTGGCAATATCATTCACCTTTAGCGTAAATATCATCGAAGTCCAGGGCAATTTCTACGTTTTTCAGTGCGCCCTTGATCTGGAAGATCCAACGAAAAAGGCATTTTATATGACATCGCTATTTTTTACATTCGTTCTTCCTCTCATCATCATATGTTTCTCGACAATACGTTCCGCTATCGTCATCACAAAATTAAAATGTGGCTGCAAACCAAATCCAAGTGCAAAGGTTCGCTCTACTTGGTTGGTTATTTGGCTTGTGGTTATATTTGGAGCCACCTCTTTCCCGTTTGCTGTTTACCAAGGAATCAAATCGTTCAATGGTCAGATTGTTGATCCTAGTACTGACTTTATCATCCTCTATGTTTGCGCCATCCTTGTCTTTTCCAACGGAGTCGTCAATACCTTCATGTACTACAAAAATATGAAAAGCATGAAACAGAAAATAGATGGATTATTTGGAAGACGTTCACCAATGAAACCCAACACGGTCAACCTCGCCATGACGTTTGAGAACGTTACCTATAAACCTGAATCGCTTCTTCGAGTTCCTAGTGTTTCGCTTTTTGAAGGACGATTCGATAGTGTGCATGGGGCCACTCTTGAACAACGCTTGAACACTTCATTGGAAATGCCGATAAAAACCGATGAAGAAAGAAGCTTTAGTCATGTCCAGTTGTCAGTACCAAAATGCCCATTGCAAGTTGTTTCAGTCCATTGATCATGCATTGTCCAAAGGCGCGGTGCGTTTGTACAAACCACCTCCGGGAGTCAAGTAGGGAGATTCAAAACATGTAATAAAAGGCACAAGTAGTGGTAAGCAGCGTTATTTACTGCAGGTTTTTGCCACTGTTGTTGCTGCGGCTGATGCGGGGAAGGGACATTGCTACCCTTAGTACTCCGATATCCCAATAACGGGCATACGTAATACTGTAATTATACCATCGTAAATAGCACAAATAACAATTTTATCCTTGTAAGTAGTACTATCACTATCGTGACTATGTCTAGTACTAACACTGTTATCAACCAAAGAGGGGGTGCTGGCATAAGTGACCTCATCTCTTTGTATTGGTAAAGGGTGTGACTACCTCTAGCCTTTGTAAGTAATAATCTTAACTTTGAAAGTAATAGTATGGCACTGTTATCAAACAAAGAGAGGGTAGTGAGTGCCCTCAGTGATCTCATCTCTTCATATTAGTAAAAGGTGTGGTTTCGCCGGTAACGCTGCTCGTGACAACAAGAAGAGCAGAATCGTCACTTGCAGTTGGCTGTCAGAAACGACGAGGAGTTGAACAAGCTTCTCGGAGGGGTTACCATTGCTCAAGGGGGTGTGTTGCCCAACATTCAAGCCGTTCTTCTGCCCAAGAAAGCAGAAAAGAAAAGTTCCTAAGCTTAGAAAACAGCAAACAACGGCTCT